AACATAACTATGGCGTAGCCAAGATTGTCATAAGGTTCGGACACACACACACACATACTAGAAAAGATTTCTCCAAATTTCCTCCCCTCTCTCTAGATATACGCCACTGTAACATACTACTTACTGTTCGTTAAGTAGATTACGGTAATAGTTCAGAGTACTTATTTTCAAATCATTTACTTGCTCCAATATGCATATAACATTTGATGGGCTCTAATATTGAAGACGCCAAAATCGAGTCAATAAATTCCTTTCTCTTGTGTTATAAATCAGAGGAATTATAAATTGATAAGTTTTAGACAACTCTCTTTATGCAATTAGTGCAAATCATATAATTTCGTTACATCAATTTAAACATTCTATTAAGCTCCCTTTTAATAATCTGTTTAAGAACTTTAAACCAATATTCCATCTTTTTTAAGCATATGCTGATCGATTTCCATTTGTTTGTAATTTTTGCTGAGCTTTTAGATATAAATTAAAGGGATTTGTTTTCTGAATTATTAAGGAATTGATTAATATTTATTTATTAATATTTTATTGATTAATATTTATTAATATTTATAGATTCGTTCGTTTTGTATTCCAAAATTTGAACGGTGGTAGTTTATAAAAACTTGTCAATTGTTTCATTACTCTTAAATCCCTCATGATCAGTATCCAGATGAGTAGATTGATCACTTACTAATGCAAAATCAAATTTTTATGAAATACAATCATTTTTAATATTTGTTAATGGACAAATGGAATGGATGATCTATTTTAAAAAATATTTTCAAATTCTTTTGAATATTTTGACAAGGGTCCGTGCCATTTTGTTAAATCTGGTATTGATTTAAACTAAAATCTAATTAGACTGAGAATACTGAAAATCCATTTAGTAATTTTGTTGTTAAGATAAGTGAACTACAGTCAAACTTCCATAACTCAAACTACCATTTTGAAATGGTTCGACTTATGGAAACTTCGAGTTAGAGAAATTTTTTATTTTTTTTTATTTTTAAAAGAAACTCGAATTACATTTTAAGATTTTTATTTATGTGAAATCAAATACAACACAGAAGTTATAGTGAAGTAAAATATTCAGACATTAGGGTTTGAGATTTTTATTAATTTTTTCTATTTTCAGTAAAAAAGAGTTCAATTTATTCCAAACCTTATAGTGATCATCAGTAGGAGTATCATTCGTTTGTAAATAAAAATTCAAAATATTAATTGATTCATCTACTTCATTCTTGGAAGGCTAATGAACAATTTCATCCACTGAACCCCCATCATCACTTTGCGTTGTGTTTAGAATTGGATCCACTAATTCAGAGCTATAATGCTCAATAATATCGTCATCTGCAGGAAAGCTTGATGTACAAATTTCATTGTCAAGCTCAATATAATCGTTAAGAGTAGCATTGGAAGTTATTTTATTTACTTTAAACCACGCTGCCAGAGATTGGCATTTGCACAAAAAACCAACATAAGAAAAAAAATTAAACATTTGGTTTGGAAAAAGGGACAAACACAAAAATGGGACTTATAGAATGCCATATTCCAGATTTCTATTAGCACGTGAAAACATTTTTATTCGAGTTATAGAGAATTTCGAATTATAGAAGTTCAAGTTATGGAAGCAGAATTGTATGTATAATAATTTGTTCTCTAAGACCTTGTTGCACTCTTTTTAGTTCGAGTTATAGAAAATTGGAGTTATAGAAGTTCGAGTTATGAAAGTTTGACTGTATTTGGATGACCTGTCAATTTTGATCCATTGAGTTTAAAAGCCAATTAATATTATTTGTAGACCTTAGTCCATATTATATGTTTCTGAGTAATAACATGGTTTTGATATATGGGTATTTCGCAAGAAGGCTTCAGTTCTATGAAGTGAATAATCGCATCCTCTTTCGCAAGTTTGCCAATAATCTTATATTGTTTAAACTTTTATGTTTAGGTATTCATACAAGTCAAAAGGTCACTTACTGTTAGGCAATTGGATTTTAAAGAAAATTCATTTTGTAACGTTAAACTTAAATGTTTGTAGACACAACCTGGATATCTGTGGGATGTTTTATTACCCTGTTCAGTATTTCATAACAAAACTAAATGTCTTTAAGTAAAATATTCTCATTATGTTAAGTGGGTTAGCCAATATATGTGAGTTTCTTGACATTTATACTTAATTTTAATAAATTTTCGATCTCTTCCATAAATCTGTCCTATTATCGGCTAAATATTTTCTGTTACTAGAATTACGTGCAATTAATATTTTTAATTACAAGTAATATACTGAAAACACTTATGTGTAGTTGCATCTCAGTTTGTTTACCGTTTTAAATAAATAATTTAATTATGAGTGTGTAATTTTTACGACCACGTTCAGAATTAATGTGCATACAGACAAATAAAATAAAATCCGTACGCCTACTTATTTTGGTCATATTGTTAAGTATTTAAAGTTTGAAGTGCAGCAAATATTAAAATCTGAGTTACACATATTTTAACGAATTAGTGATTTTGTGAAGAAGGAGTCGTTTGGAAAAGAAGTAAGTTAGTTTAAATAAAAACACATTATGGACCTGTTATGGTGTTATGGTGTTATGGTTGGTAATCAACTTGCTACGGGCCTTTCGGCTAACAAGTGTACCTTACCTATGAGCAAATGCATGTAGATGCTAGTTGCATAGCTGCAGATACAAGACACTGTGTACTTAATTTGAAATAGGTTTCGACATCAATCATAAAAGTTTTTGTTGTTGTTGACACTATTGTGAAATGTTTTGGCATCATTATGCTGATGCTGGTGCTTAGATTTTTTCCTTATTCAAATAAAATAAACGTGTTTTTTTTTGATTTTTAATAGTAAAATAGCAAAAAATTAAGAAAAAATCATTATTGAAAGATAAACAATCATAAGACCAAAATTATATGCATATACAAATTGGAATTGGGCATCTTAGGAGAAAACGAAGCCAACAGATTTATTTGTAACTAATCTTGAACTTTTTACAACAAATAACTCAGCTACACACGCAAATACTTTTTTAGCATTAAGTCTATATATGAAATCTAGGCAAATAGTTAATCATAAATAGTTTTTTTAAATTTAAACTTGGCCTAATAACACCCACTAAGCATGTGTGATGTTACAACAGAGAAAACTGTTTAAAATTCGCAGTGGCCAAAAAGTCTTATTGCCTTTTCTGATCAAAAAAAAACTGGCCAAAAATTGTATAAAGTCATTACAAGCTGAGGCGCATGTTTTATAGATACTTTTTGTTACTTTTATTTTCATTTATTGCGCGGCTTTGTTTCGAAAGAGCAGAAGTTCCTTTCGAAATCTGAAGCGAGGCAAATGAACACGTTTTCCTTGGATTTAGAACTGCACGAATGATTTTTCAATCACTTTTGAAGTGCTTTAAACTCTTAAGGACAAGATATCTAAACGTTCTACCGAATTGCTTTTGCAAACTGGTTCATTCGCTACAATAACTCATCTTCCGCTTACTTAATTACAAAACGGCTGCGCGAGCTTCTTCTCTATAAATACCATACACAAGTATTATTTTTGGCGTTTTCGAAACCTTTTATTTTCTTGGAAGTGATTGTGTAAATTGCACTTCAGTGCACATTACCGCACACTGACCCAAACCTGCCATTCTTAACTGCAAATTACTTAATCTTTAATGTTTTAATAATAATTTTGAGCATACAATTATTGTTTTGAACAGCGCTTAATTGACTGTTGTGGATAGTTGTGGATAGTTGCAAGGCAGGTACTACTAATTAATCAATATCGTTGCTTCAAAAATACGAAAGGTGGTACTGTGCTAATGAGGTTGTATAGAACTTACTCAATTCTACGAGAATGCATATATAAGCATAATAAACATGATTCTTATGTAAATACATAAAAACAAATGTGAATAAATAAATAATATTATAAGTACTGCTATTAAGACATGTAGATAAAATAAAGGACAAATCATAGTATTGATCAAAATATAAGATGAAATTATTTATAACTTTTAATATGAAATTTAGTACATTAAGAAGAGAGTTTGCTAAAAGAAAATCCATAAAAGTAAAAATTAGTAGATTTATCAGTTTATTAGGACCGTGTGCGAGTTGGAGTAAATTGAGGGAAAGTAAATTGAAATTTCCTAGGAATTTTTTGCACTGCACTAATGTAAATATTTATTTATTTATTAATTGCATTTGTTTATTATTTTTGGTTAAAAGTTATCATATTTATTTATTAAACGTCTTTTAAAATGATAATACCTAATTTACCTAATTTTCATCTAATTTACTCTACTTGCAACTCTGGTAAATATCAACATTCGCTGCCATACCGACATAATTTACTACTTCCCTCAATTTACCATCAATTTACTGGAACTCACACACGGTCTAGACAGAAAAAGAATAAGTAAAACATAAATAAAATTATTAAATATTATTGTTTTAATGATAAAATTTTATTTATATATTTTTGAACAGTCTAATTGATCAATATTAAATAATAAACAACTTTTTAAATTAGTTTAAAAAATATAATTTATTAGCACAGAGAGTACTCTAAACTACCCTTCAGCACCCTTTTTCCTTGTTACTTTATATAATCACCTTCAAAGTACTCTTCTCCCAATACAATAAACTTATCTTAGAGTTTTTTCCAATCTTGGAAAGTTTTATTAAAGTCAATTGAGATATAAAGATATTTCTTAGTACTATACATATGTCGAAATAAAGAAATATATATTTATTTCGATATAGATATATATTTATTTCTCTATTTTGAGACGTATGTCGTACTAAAGTACAATTTTAAGGAACATTAAGAGAGTTAAATGCTGTTAGGGATTTTTTGAGGCAACCATAGATCATGTATAACGAAATATGCCACACTACTCTGGAATGGAACCCACAGGGCAGTAGAAGACTTGGCAGACACAAGGTTACATAGAGGAATACCTTCTTTAAAGAAACGGGCAAATCTTTTAACAAACTATGTCACTTAGCTTTAAACAAACATAATTGGAGATTTCATATAATCGACCATCAACCTCTTTATGGGGAATACTGTCAATATACATATATATACATATCATATACACAAAAATAAGGCAGAAGAAAATATGTATATTAAAGAGGTAATAGAATAATGAAGATAATTAAAAGCAAAAAAGTAAGAGAGATGATTAATGAAGCCGTACTATTAAAAAACTAAATAATAATTGCAGGAAAGTAAGTAAAAGAGCGGAAAAACTGACAGAAAACAGAAGAAACATCTATTTTAGAAGAAATAGTTGTCATAAGATATCTATATATTTCTAAAATTGCACTCAACAATATATATATATATATTGGTGGTTTACAGTTTCTATTTTTTAATATATACATTTCTAAAATATAGAGCATTTTATTTTCAGAAAAGCCTTTATAGCATTCGGTTTTTATCTTCTCAATAGTTTCGAAACGATGTCCCCGGAACAAGATATTAAGCTAGATATCACACGGTGATAAATATAACGAATACGATGCTTTTGGAACAACATGGCTTAAATATTATGATCTCGATGAAGCAATGTAGTTTAATATGCTACATTAACCAAATATTAGTTCAAAAACTAAAAATTGTCTGTCCAGAATTTGGAGCTCTATTTGCGAATAGCTTCACGTATAATTAAATAATATTTCTGCAGCGAAGGTTATGGGGAGTACGCAGTTTGTCTGCATAAGTTCCTACACACCAATGACCAGTAAGAACTGCAGTAAGTCTTGCAGTGTTCACGCGATCTCTTTTGATGAGTTTATTTGATGAGGATTTATTTTTATGGAAGTCGCACATGACCTAAGTGCTTTCCATCTGTTATTGGCAAGTTGCAAAAAGTAGAGGAAGTTACTTCTTTTATTGGTCTCCAGGTTATTATAAACTGGTACCGCCAGTGACGCATCTAGGGAGGCTTTCTCGTTCCGTACGATGTTCCTATGTCCAGGAACCCAGATGAGGGTGATATCAGCCAACCGATTTAGCTCGTCGATTGCTTCTCTATATTCCTTTACTATTTTTGATTTAAGGTATTATAGCTGATGGTATTGAAAAAATAAAAATAAAAAACTGTTTGCAAATTCATTTATGGCTTTTTTTATTTATTTATTTTTGTTTTAACATCAACAAAAACCTATCAGGTTTTGACACAAAATATTGATATTGTAAAATGAAGCGAATATTTCATATTAATTAATATAAATAAATTTTAACTTGACGTTTATATTTTTAAGGGCTTATAGGAAATTTTATTTATATAGCGTCATTGTTATTTTTTATTTCTTTATCAGCATTATTAGTTGGAATATCTTCTCCCTCCACTCAATTCAATTCATTAAACACCAATTGCCTTTAAATATTTATCTCTTCTATGTTATAAGTACCTTAGTACTTTTTATTTATATTTATGTATGTCTTCGTTGGGACTATTTAACTAACCACTTTTATTGAGTGTTTACACATGAACTACGACAGAAGATTGTGACAAGACGATCGACTTAATGTTCCATCATAGTTTGAACCTGTCTGTAGTATACAATTTGTCTATCGTCTATTGTTTAACGATTCATTGCCTATGGTCATTTTTACTCTACAGATAATTCATTTTTTATACTCAGTTAATGTATTCAAAATAAAATAAATTTGACCCATCCTAAAATTTTGCATTTTTTATAATTTATTTTTACTCATATATTGGTGTCCACATACTGTTTTTGTTTAATTTGCAAGATCGAAATCACAGCAATATCAAAGTTCGTGTTCAATTTCAAAATTTGTTTATATTTCAATAATCAAAGTATTAGAGAAGCGTGAAGATTTTCGATCAAGATACCAAGCGAACTATCTCATAAACTGTTCATTTAGATTTATTGAGTTTTAAAATATTACCCTAATACTGAGATGCTATGTAGATGCTTACTAATCTTCCGAAATCTGTTCATTTACCATCTAATATGTTTTATATATATTTTTTGTAAGCTGTACTTACA